CCTTCTCACTCCTTCTTGATAAATTCCTTAGGATAAGTGCTGTTTTTGTTCATTTCCAATGTCTATTTTAATGCCTAACACAAACACTTGATATGTAAACAAGTGAGTAAATGACAGCACAGGGCTGCTGGCAAACATTTAAGAGCTTCACTAGACGGATTCACCCAACCTATCCGTGTTTTCTTCCAATAACCCTGACAAGAACATTTTAAATCGGTCTTCTCATTACTAGGCCCTCCTTCTATGCTTCATTCCAAGCTTTGTCCAAGTTCACACCCTCCTTCTTTCCCTTCAATCCATGTGAGATGGTTTTGCTGTTGTTATTACCTACATAGCTTTGCTATTCAAAGTCAGATCTATCTTTTTTCTCTACCAAAAAAAAATGGGATGTCTTTACGACATGAAAAATATTCAAATACTCTTTTCTAGATATTTGAATTTCTAATTTTTTCAGAGTTGACTTTAACTTTTGGAACTTCAGCTTACCCCTGAATCGCCTTCCTGTTTTTTTATAAAGCATATATCCTGGCTTCTCAAAGTCAGAGCAGAAGCTTATTAGACAATCAAATAATCAAATAAGTAACATGCTAATGGATTCACTTTGGCTACTCAATGGCTACTTTGAGACATCATACAAAATGTTTCTAGTAACAATAATATATTACTGATACCATTATCAGTATGCATAGACAAAGAGTTTTATCAGGAATCAGTCTGTATCTGATATTATCCTTGTATAAGTGCTTTCCAGGAATACAATGTAACGTCTCACCATCCACAACTGCACTGCAGTAGTGCCATGACTGGATTTTCTAGGATGGAGACATCAATTTGATCCCTCATCACAGACCTTTTTATTTATTCATTCCTTCCTTTCTTCCTTCCTTCCTTTCTTTTTCTTTAAATCATATTTTTAATTCTTTGAAAGTTTCTTACATTTATACAATGTATACTGATTCCACCCGTCCACCACTATCTCTTTCCAACTCCCCCTGGTACCCTCCTCCCCATCTCCCTCCCAATTGCATGTCTTCTTTTTATTTTTGTTTTCATTATTAATAACCCCAAGTCCAATTAGTGCTGCCCGTATGTACATGGCTGTGTGACCATTACTAGGGCATGAGAAACCTACTAGACCCCATATCCCCAAAGGAGAGTGACTGTCTCCCTCCCCCAGTGGCCATCAACTGCTAATTTCTCAGATAAGGGTGGGGCCTTAGGGCCCTTCACAAGTCCATGCTAGAGTTTGACTGACTTGATCTTCTTGCACAGAGCTTCCTTAACATTTCCCACTCAGGACCCCTTCTCTTCTGAAAACATTTTTACACATTGTTTTACCTAATTTACCCTAATGAGTAATTAGCCATATTAAATAAGTATACAAATCACTTAATGATAATAATCATAAAAATTATTTTAAGCAATTATTTTATATACATATACTTTTACCAAATTTGTATACTAATGAGATTATGTGCTTCTTATTTTTACATGAAAAATTAAATGGGGCTGGAGAGATGGCTGCTCTTGAAGAAGACCCAGATTTGATTCCCAACACTCACATGGTGGCTAACAACCAATCATAACTCCAATTTCAGAGGATCCGACACCTTCTTCTGACCTCTGTGGGCATTGTACAACACAGGTGCACTTACACACATGCAGGCAATACACTTGTACACATAAATTAAAAAATAATAAAATATTTTTAAAAATTAAATATTGGTTGAATATTTGATACTGCAGAATGTAAAACATCTTTAACATTTAATCAGTGTTTTGATTTATAATCATCAATACTAAGAACATCACTTCATATAAATATGAAATATCAAATGGCAAAAGTATGTTTTGTGTCATTTCAAAAATTGGTGGGAATTCTGTGCTGGTTGCAAACAAAAATTAATTTAATGATTTAATGACTTCCTTTGAAACTAAAGGCAGCAACTCAAACAGCAGTTTTTAAAATCAAGCATTCTAACACAATACAATCCAAGAATATACTGATTTAATGCTTACATGCAGAGAAATGATAGTAGAAAAATGTTAAAGTCTTTGTTTCCATAATTAAAACATTATGTTTCCATAAGAGCAGAAAACTTTACATGTGTGGTTTTAAAAAAAAAAAAAAACACTAAATTCAGAGGTTGCAGTAGTCACAAATCTGAGCCTAGGTGTTTCCAAGCATCATTTATCGGTGCTGTATGGTGTGACATTGTGCACAGTGTAAAATGCATGTTGGGTGTTTGGAACCAAGGCTGCAGTGAAGTCACAGGATACAAGAGTGGTGAGCACTGCCAGGAACACCTCAGCTTCATTATTTAATTAATTTGGAGTCACTGCAAATTCAGAAACTTTTTACTATTGCCAATTTTTATTGCCACATTAGGTTACACAACCCCATATGGGGTCGTGACCCACAATATTAAAAGCTCTATTTTAGCACACAGGGCCCAGAATCTATAGATTTCACTGTAGCCCCAGAGGATGTAGCTCACAAGATACACATGCTGCCAGCTTTCCTTCTGATCTCTGCCACTCTAGCAGACTTCTACAGTTTCAATCCAAACCAGCTCTTCTGGAACAAGTAACTCCATCTTTGCCAGAATAGGCCTTAGCCCTAAACCAAACTGGACAGCTGTTTGCCAAACTCAGAGGTGACGTTTGATGCTAATGATCAACATAGAACTAAGCCACTGGGAGTAAATGATGGAATGGAAAGTAATGAGGCTCAATTTTCCACAGTAATAGCCATAACATATTTTCAAAGGATCTATCCAATTGGCTCTGGCCTGTAGGGCATCAATAAAACTTATCTTTGTTTATTATCCTCTTACATTTGTGCAAAGAATGTTAATGAAATATTTACTTTATAAAAGACTGGATATAAAATAAGTTGGAAATCTTGAAACTAAAGAAATCATAATCATTGTGAACAGTATAGAGAAGGGAAGTTGAAAGAAAATAAAAGGGAAAAGAATGTGTTACAATTCTTCATTTTTTTTTCTTTTGAGACATGTTACATGCTTTGTGTCCAAGAGTGGACTCAAACTTATGATCATCCTCATTCAGCTTCCCAAGTGCTGGGATTCTAAGCATGTACCACCGTCGTTCTCAGTGATTCACTGATGCCCTCTAAATGCCTATACCCTCTAAACATTGCATTTAAGCTGAATGTCTGATCCACATTGGCTGTATATCATTCTCAGGTTACTTTAAGTTTGGTATAAAAAGGCCACAATTAAAAGCAAAAAACTGCGATGCTGGTTCTGCACCTCAGTTTTGTAGGAATTCCAACTCTCCTTGAATTCTTCTCTAATTCTTTTTTTCTATTTTTTATTTAAATTTTTTAATTTTTATTTTATAAGTGTTTTTTCTGCATGTATGCAAGTGCACCCATGTTGTGTAGTGCCTACAGAGGCCATGAAAAGGTGTCAGCTCTCCTAAAACTGAAGTTGTAGGTGGTTAGTAGCCACCACATGGATATTTAGAACTGAACCTGGGTCCTCTGCAAGAATGTTCAGCCAGTGCCCTTAACCACTGAGCCATCTCTTCAGCCCCTCTTCTCTAATTCTTAACTTCCCCCAGTGAATCTCATGTGTGCTTCTGCAAGATTTATACCAACAGTGGCAGTTTATACTGGAAGAAGTCTGGGTTGCTCTGGATTCTCTAGAAAAACAAAACCAATACATACATATATATATATATCTTCTATATATATATATATATATGAATCTGTGAACATATATGAGTATAGCAATGGATGATTGATATAATATAGATGATAAATATTTACTGTAAGATATTGGCTTGCATCATTTTTAAGAAGTCCAATGATCCTCTATCTGCAAGGTTTAGTCCTAGAAAGTCAGTAGCACAGCTCAAAGAATTGATCACTAAAAAGCCAATAATATAGACTTCAGACCAGATCAGAAGACCTGAGAACAAGGCATGGGCAGGAGAAGAACAATGTCTCAATTTAAGCAGACAGTACGTTCAATCTGCCTCTAACTTTTTTGTTCTATTCAGCCCCTGAATGGATTCAATGATACTCATTGATACTGGAAAAGTCATCTACCTGATGTGTCTACTTATTCAAATATTAATCTCCCTTCACAGACCTCCCCAGAGACCATGTTTAATCTCAGGGCACCCTGTAGCCCAGTCTAATGGAGACACAAAATTAACCATCACAAAGTAGGAACCACTGTTACCACTCCTACTAATACCCATTAAGGCTGCTGATTCTCCAAACAGTTCCTAGGAGATTGAGAAAATGGACTAAGCTCCCCTAGACAACATGATATCACTGCTAATGTCTAGCTACTGATGTTCAAAGGTCAATAATGCCCAAAAGTTGCTTATGTCACTTTTAGGATTCTGTTAGCTAAAGAAGTTGTCTTTTGAAGCCACTAGCTTTGGGCACTATTTTAACTGGCAGAAAGTGTGCCTAAGTTCAATAAGTATTTTCATGAAGCCACTTTTTTTTACTCTTTTATTTTCATTTATTGCTTTAGTATTCAGAAATCATTGCTGCTCTGAAATGATTCCTTCCTGCTATACTTATAATAGCATTTCCCCCTTTTAAATCAGCCCATGGACTTGCTACAACACTCGAATGTTTATCCAATCTCTATTCTTTCTTCCCTTAGGATTAGTGTATCCAGGAGTTACTCATGTAAATACCCTTCATTGAAATTTCCACTGAGTACCTGTTGCTCTCACAAGTCCTCCATATATGTCCAGACAATCTTCTATTACAGGGTATGCCTATTATAAATATGATTTTCTTTCATTGAGAGTATTTGCTTCAAATAGAGAGCATGCATAGAAGACAGCTAGAAATGGCCTTGTCTGTATTCATGCCAGCTGGTGGTGGAGTAACTTAGAAACTCAAAACTTGAGTTGTTAAAATCATAGACAACAATCTCAAGTTTGACCTACTGGTTATGTGTGTGTGTGTGTGTGTGTGTGTGTGTGTGTGTGTGTGTGTTCCCCGAAGATAACCATAATCTTCTTTAAGACGGTAACAGTGCCTTAATCATATGTGTTGTCAAAGCCAATGGCCTCTTCCATCCTTGTCAAAGAGAGTGCAAAGGAGAAGTCTCCTTTCATACAATACACCATAACCTTCTTTAAGTAAACTATGTGTGTTAATCCCCAAAGAACCTATCAAGACTTAATGGAAGATGATTAAAGAAAAAATAAGAACAATCAAAGAAGTTCCAAGTTGAATTTCATGATAAAAGGATCTCGGGACTAGCTTAGGCAATTTTCAGTTTCTAATTTGAAGGCCCCAGAGAAAAAGAATCAAGAAGACATTATACCAAGAAACCTGAGTGTCCTATTTACCACTGCCCTGGCTTTCCCATCACAGCTGTATGACAAAGCAACATTAAAGCCCCCATACAGGGTGATTCTGTGTCTTCTATTTTAAACTGCTTTGTAAAATGAAGTTGCAAACGACTACAGTTCTAGGAATATCTGCCAAGCTTGCTACCAACCCAAGTCAATCCATGTCATTCACCTTCAAAAACTAGTTAACTCAAGATGTCTTGATTCCAATTAAGTCTTGTATAATTATGCACAGCAAGTTAAAGAGTTAAGTTTAATCCACAAGAGAGACAATGCAGCATTCTCCTAGACAGAAGAGCGTATCACCAAATGTCACATGAATGGCAGGCAGTCATTACAGTTGCTTTTCCCTGGCAAGGAAAGGCAGGAAATGTAAATTTCCTCTTTTTAAGTTTGACTCCTTTTGAATTTCATGCTGCCAGGGAAATGTAATTTATCATTTAATCTTTCCTTGTAGACTAACATAACATTCAAACTATTCTGCTTATTTTTCTAAGCAGTCCACTATCTTAAAGAAATTCATAGTCAACCAGCATATTTTTTAAAGCTGTCTGACACATTTCAAAATAGCCTTAAAATCATTCTATAGTTTGATATTCTGGAAATTTGTAATCTGCAAAAAAAAAGTTCCCCAGTCAGAAAATAGAAATTAAAGAAATGCAAATAAAATGTCCATTAACAAGCTGACTCCAACTTACAAGTCTTAGACCATAGCCATGAGCCCAGATAGCTAAATAAAGCATGCAGGTGCTTAGATATAGTAAAACTAGTTGAAAATGTAGACACAGACAGCAAAATCCAGTGATATCAGTTTAAAAATAATACTCAGAGGTAATGATCTTGTAACAGAAGATCATTTCTGCACCTTCTTAAAAATAAAACATATCTACTTTCCCCTGTTTTCAGAGAATAGAACCTACTGCTACCTTTTATCCCAAGAGCTGAAAACACATATCAACTTAACATAATCTATTGAATTTCAGGTAATAGACCCCAAGAAATTATCAGTCCATGACTTTGGGAAGTCAGAAAACCTTCAAAGAAGACTACAAAATATCACAATCGCGAGTTTATCAAAAATTTGAAAGAACTCCAGTTGCCTGGTTGGACATCTGTGAATTGAACATGTCATGTATGACTCCAATCTCTACCATGCTCACACCTAACAATTAAGAGAATCTGGAGCCTTGATGATGGTCTTAACATCTGTGGTAAAATGAAATTTGCTGGGCATGACAGAGCCATTGCACACATGAACTCATAACAGTTGTGGCTACATGCAGAAGGCCTACACAAGATCAAGCCAGTCTAGATCCCAGCATAGACAGGGATGGACTCATGAAATATCTTTCCAGCTGAGGAGCTGTAGGCAACTGATGGCTGCTAGTGGAAGGACTCTTTACATTTTCTTCAGGGATGTGACCCCTGAAAGGTACCCATGCTCCAGTAAATGGCCCAATATCCACGCACGTACAGCCAGCAATAAGTGGACTCAGCAGATTTAAAAAGAGAGAGAGAAAAAGCACATGAAGTTGGGAAGGAAAAGTGATGAAGGAGCTAGAAGCATTGGAGGGGAGAGCATGGGTGTGGATTTGACTCAACTATATTATATGCATGTATGAAATTTGCAATAAACAAAGAAAAGTATGACAAGAACGGTAAGTTTCCTGTAGAATTGTATGTTTAACATTTATTGGGTGCCTTCTATGTGACAGGAATTGTATTAACTATGGAAAATAGAAAGAGACTAATAGTGACCTTACCCTTAAAAAGGTCACTGTCAGCTGGGCATGGTGACACATGTTTATAGTCCCAGCACCCAAGAGTTAGAGGCAGGAAGATCACTGCGAGTTTGAAACATGCCAGCCTACATAGTAAGACCCTGTTTTAAAAATTGAAAATTAGGGGCTAGAGAGATGGCTCAGCAGTTAAGAATACTGGTTGTTCTTGCAGAAGACCCTGGTTCAAATCCCAGCACCCACATGGCAGCTAACAACTGTCCGTAACTCCAGTTTCAGGGGATCAGATGGCCTCTTCTGTTCTCCACATGCATTGCATGACACGGGTGCACTTATCTACATGCAGACAATACACTCACACACATAAAATAAAAATAATAAATAAAATATTTTTTAAAAACACAACTAAATTTAAAATGCATGATGTCGTTGGAAACTGCACTGCAAGCGTGAAATACATTGTGCTTGGGAAATGCCTGGCTTTAGCTCTACAGAGAGGGCATGTAGGAAGCAATGCAGAACTGTTTGGTATAACCCAAGCTTGGGGAAAGAAAGGCACAGAGCCACATTGGAGAGTAGAGACAGTCAGAGAATGCTTCCCAGGAAAAGTCAAACTTAGAACCAAGACTGGAAGATTCTATAGAGCAAAGAAAAAGGAAGCCAGGCAGATGGAAATCAAAGCAGCACCATCATGACAACGCTGATGGACAAAACAGATTTCATTTGTAGTCAGCTGGGCTTACTAATATCTCTGTCCACCAAGGCCACACCAACCTGGGCACTGACGGTGTTTCAGGTGGAAAGTTTGGGTCTGCAGAATAGAGTGGCTAGCTCATCAGGCCTGAGAACAGAGTGAGGAAAAGGCACAGAATCCCCAACCTTTAGAGCATACTAAGAGAATACTGCACCACATGAGAGATGTGGATCAGTGACCTTTTACCCACCAACCAGGCAATAGGAAAGGTGAGTGAGGTTAAGTCAGGAAACAAGAATGTTATATTAAAAAGACATCTCTATGCAAAAATAAGAGGCGTAAAGCCTAAGGAGCTATTCCTCTCTAATACCACTTCGTTCAACCATCATCGTCTCTTGTATTTCCTTACTAGTCTCTTAACTAATATTCTTACTTTCACTGCAGTCATGTTCTCCACAGCTAAACAATTATTTGTTGTCATTATTATTATTAAACTATACATAATATTATGGATGGATTTGTTTGCTTCTAAAATTTGTATATTGAAGTTCTAACCCTCGATGTAACTGTATTCGGAATAAAAATGGAGGTAATTAAAGTTAGGTAAGATCACAAGTTTAGGGCTCTGATTCCATAGGACTAAAACCCTTAAGAAGAAACACAGGACTGGAGAGACAGCTCAGCAGTTACAAGTACTAGCTCCTCTTGCAGAGGACCCAGGACTCACATAGCAACTAACAACTGTCCAAAACTCCAGTTCCAGTAGATCCAATGCCTTCTTCTGGCTTCTGCAGGCATTGCACAACATGGGTGCATCTATATACACGCAGGCAAAACACTCATATACATAAAACAAAAATAAATGAATAAATAAGAAATAAAAGGGAGCTTGTCTGTATTTTCTCTCTCCCTTCTTCATACCCTTCCTCCATTTCTGTCCCTGTATACACGCACTGAGGACAGACCATGTGAGCACACGCCAAGAAGGCAACCATCTACAATCAAAGGAGCACACCATCAGCAGATCAGTGCTCGTGGTACCCACCTTAACTTGTGACTTCTTAGCTTCCAGAGGTGGTAAATAATATATTTTGTTGTTTAAGCTGCCTGGGTTGTGTTATTTTGTTACGGCAGCCTGCTCTGACTAAACAAACATAAAATTCACAACTATTACATTTTATAGTGTTCAACTCAGTGACATGAAGTTCATTCGGAGTTGTACAGCCGTCACCACCACCTAGTTCCAGAACATTTTTACTGCACCAGAAGAAAAAGCCTACATCCATTGGGCAATCACTGTCCATTTCTCACACCCTCCAGCCCCTGGTTACTAATAATATGTTTTCTCTTTCTATTGATTTGAATTTTCTGGATATTCATATAAATGCATTCATAAGGTATGTGACCTTTTATGTCTGGTGGTGGTGGCAACAACTGCTGTTTTTGCTGCTGCTGATATTGTTGTTGTTGAAGACAGGAGTAGGCTGTCTGCATGACTGCTGGTGGACAGGCCACAGCAAAGCTTAGACTTTCAGTAGTACCCTCAGCTAAACAGCCCATGCTTACCTTGCACTCATGATCTTCCTGCCACAGTCTCCCAAGTGTTAGGATTGCATGAATGCCACTTCTCTAACTGAGCATCATATTTTCAAAGCCAATCATATAGTGACACTATGAGGGCACTTTTATTCTGTGAGGAATTACCAAACTTTTTCCCACAGCAACCGCATCAAGCTATAGTCCCATCAGCAATATGTGATTCTTTCCGTTTCTTCACATCCTGACAATACTTGCTATTTTAGTAAAATCTTCAGAAAATATAAACCTGGTCTTGCATACCCCTTCCCTCCCTAAATAAAATCTAAGCACTTTGCCATATCTACCAGGTCTAACATTCTTTGACTGACCTTCCTCTTCCTCTCTTACTCCCACAACTCTCTCCCTCATTCTCTGAACAGCAGCCATTTGTGTCTTTTAAATGCCCCTCAGGGTTGGAGGGACAACTCAGAGGTTAAAAGCACTGGCTGTGCTTCCGGAGAATTCGGGTTCGATTCCTAGCACCCACGTGGCAGCAAACACCTGTCTGTAAGGCCAGTCCCAGGGGATCCAATACCCTCTTCTGACCTCTGAGGGCATTGCATGACACAGGTGCACTTACTTATATACATGCAGACAATACAGCCATACAAATAAAATCAATAAAATAAAAATATTTTTAAATCCCCTTGCAGACTGTTGAGTGCATTGTAAACACATAGACTTCATAACAGCTTGTCCCTCTAGACATCATGCTTGTTTCTTGCCAGCAAAATTTTCTGTTAAAATATTCCTGCT